AGAAAGCAAATTAAACACGAAGATTTATCAGAGTAAACGAGCCTAGGATTTTATTCTTCCCCTATGTGATTATTATTCCTCCAATTCCTTCAATTATGCAATCAATTAACCCGGATTATTAACCTGAGATGCTAAAATAATCATAACCCGCTTCCGCGTGTATTACGATTCTAATACTCTAGATTCAATTACTATATTCCTATGCAATTAATTTTAGAACACAGCATTAAGCACAAATCTCAATAATGGCTACCTAAGAGATTAACTATATTCCTATGTTAATACCATAAAGGCTCTTTTACCACAGTTCTAATTATTAACCCGATCTTCCGATTCATGCGATTAACAATAACATAAAAGCACATAAGTTGATCAAGTTCATGCACTTAATAAAACAAGTAGAAGAAATAATCCGGAATTAAAACTTGCATAAAATCATACAATTGGGTTCATAAATCCCACATAGGGTTCCAAATAAAATCCTAGAAATAAAAACTTAGCTACTCGTGATTCTTATAATAAAGAAAATAAAATAAATAAAAATAAGAAAAACTATGCTTGAGTCTTCGTTGATCTTCGTTCCTCGCGTTTTGTGGCGTATAATTTCGTAAAAGAAGATATCAATTGTGTGCTTGGCTTGGTCTTATATAGGGTGAAGAACTTGGGGAAAAAGGCAGTTTCCTTGTGCAATTAAAATTCCTTTACTGCGCAACTTCGGATTCTCGGACGGGGGTCCCACGATTTGAACTAAAACTGGGACGGGGGTCCGAGCTTTACATCTTCAGAATTTTGATTTTTTCACTTTTGGCCCATATTTTCTCCAAAATTGCAGTTTTGACCCCATACTTTTCCAATTCTTCAATTTGTACCTAAAATACAATAAATCAACTTTTTAAGCACCAATTATCATTAAAACACACCAAAAGCTCAAATAAAAAGGTACGATAAAGTGTAAAAATATACACTTAACACCGGTCGAATAAAAAAATTCAGAAAAATAAAAAAACATTAAGTAAATAAAAAGTCAACGTGGAGACGGCGGTCAATTTGTCGGGGGTAATATTAGTATATAGGAGTTATTTTGCAATTCACCCTCTTTTTATTATATTTGTAAATTTACCATGTTATTTTTATTTATTTATTTTCTTTCAAGAAAATTGACCGTGTTATTAATTATTATATTTTCTTTATTTTAACAGCACTACATGTAAACACCAATAATAAATAGAGCAAAGTTCTGCTCTCTCTTTCTTCAAGAGCTCAAACCAAAGTTCTTCTTCAAGAGCTATCTATTCAAACTGTTAGCATTTATTTCTCTTGTTCATAAAAATTCAATGAAATAAAAAGGAAAGAAATTTAGAGAGAGAAATTCACTTGGTCATCGAGTATGGATGCAGAGACGCCATTGTTGTTAAACTAAAGGTAAGATTCTCTCTAAAATTATCTGTCTCTCTCTATATACTGTTTACATATAGGAAATCATATATTTTATTATATTATATAAAGCAATTAAATACTATTAGAATATTGTATATATCTTTGTTAGTTAATATTCTAATATATTCTTAAGAAAGATATAATATACTTAAGAGAAGAAAATGGAAGAAAGTTGATCTTGTAAATATTAATGTTTAAGCTGTAATAATATTTATCATATATGTTAATTAGGTGAGAAATAATATTTATGAGACGCAATTTGCCCTCTTGAAGTCCTTCGAGCTAGTTGATTCGTTTGGTTCGTCGTCCGATGTAACCGACCACGGTTCGGAGTGGCTCGTTGGTTGTTACAACGTTGACCCTGGATTCTTTACTCGATATCATAGTCGGTGGAATTTTATGGTTTACTCACTTGTCTATGAAAAACATAAATATCTACAATACCCTATCGAAAAATTGAGAGTTCAACCCGTTGGTATCATTATCTTTATGGCCACTCTCGGTGAGTTTTATCTCCTATATTTTTAATATGTAGAGGTAATCATTATACCTATTAAAAAAAAATCTTCCTTAGAGATTTTTAAGAAAGTTTATATGAACTTCATTTTTCAGGATTCGAAGTATTCGTACAAGCTGTAGAACAACTGATTAAAGACGACCCTCTGGAAAAGATGAATTTCAATCAATTGTTGTGGTTGTACATTATTATGTTCATTGCAACCGGAGTGAAACTTGTTCTTTAGATTTACTGCAGATGCTACGAGAACGATATTGTATGTGCCTATGCAATGGTTAATATGTTTCCACACAAAACCCGGGGTTTCAAGTTGAACTCTCAGTTTTCCGATAGGATATTTGTAATATTGATGTTTTTCAAGGACAAGTGAGTAAACCATAGAATTCCACCGGCTATGAGATCGAGTACAAAATCCAGGGTCAAGGCTGCAATAACATGTCTTATTTGATGTTAGATTTGTGTAATAACTTTTTGGACTGTAACTATAGAAAAATAAACTTTAATCTTACTTATTGGAAAATTATTTATTGTACGTGCGCAAATAATCGTGGTTTTGTGGGCATTGGGATTGGGAATTATCGGGCATATACTATTTGATCAGCACAACATTTGTGGACTGGCTAATACACAACAGTTTGCCAAAAGTTAGGAATGTGTTCATTGGAATCTTAGTATTTCCATTAATGATAGTTTATGTCGGATCAGTGATCTATCTCATGTTTCGGAAGGATAACGTTATCACTTACATTGACCCGACAAAGCCCGACCCGAATAATGCCCAGGCCCGGATGGAGGATGAAGGTGGAGTTGAATCGCACCAGCATAATCCATATCGAGAGGATCTTGTTGATATTCCATTGCCCCAATAATCATTTAACTTTTTTCTCTTATCAAAAAATGTTTTTGATTATTTTCTTTATCTTTCAAGAAATGCTTCATCTTTTCACAATGTGGGAAGTTTATATTTATTTTAAACCTTTATAACTGCGTTCCATTGTGACATGTATTGAATTTCATTTAAACTTGTATAATTGTGTTCTGTTCCACCGGATTTTCATTTTTCACCCACAGAGGGTGCTTCTTGGCGCCGTTTCTCCCTCACCAGTGATCGGAATTTGATGGTTCAACTATTGTTGGATGCCTCTAGTCGTGCTCTTTCTTTTTGCTGTCACTCTACGCTTTTTGGCCCTTTGGTTGTGGAGTTATGATTTTGTTTTCGTGCGCGCCTTTATTTTCTATTTTTCACCCACAAAGGGTTCTTCTTGGCTTCGATTCTCCCTCAGTGGTGATCGGAATTTGATGGTTCAACCACCGTTGGATTCCTTTCATCATGCCCTTCCTTTTGAATGTCTTTTCACGTTTTTTGCCCTTGTGGTTATGGAGTTATGTATTTTCCATTTTTCACTATTGTTGGAATTTTTTTTAACTCTTGATTAGATGAGGTTGTCATTTAGTTCTAGTAAATTTTGTTATGCAATAATATTTCAGTTTGCCCCTTTCCAAAGTAGGGTAAATAAGAATATTCTTATTTTTGTTTGTCTTAATTCCCTTTTGTTTGAAAATACGTATACGAGTACTTGTGATAAAAACCCGAAAGAAAGGCTTATGAATCACATAAATTTAAAAATGGGCTATGATCACGAATGGGACCAAATGAGTTTAAAATTGAACTTTTGAGGCGTATTTTGTTCACATGGAAACATCGGTGACCAAAAGTAGAATCGAGTGAAACATGAGGGGCGAAAAATGTAATTCTCCAGACCTTTTGCTTACTGCAAAATAAAGAAGTCTTATGGGCTTTAAAACCCAATATACAGGCCCAAACGGCAACCACTAGGCCCAAATAAAATCTTAGTTCGAATTCACCTATAAATAGTTAAATATATCAAAATGTCATAACTTCGGTATGCTATTTATTATGGAGAGTTTTTCTTGTCCCGGATTATTTGTCACTTCCAATAAAGTATTAATTACGTGTTTTTTCAATTTTATACTTTACAACTCTTAATTAGCTAGTTGATAAATAATTAACGACGAGGGTCACTTAGTAATTTTTTTTTATGTTTTTTGCTATAATCTATGCATAATTATTATTTTTTTTAATATGTGCACAGCAATAAAAAAACATTATATAATATGGAACGGAAGGAGTATTTCTTCACTGAATTCAGTTAATTTATCTCCTACATGATGCTTGGTATAAGAATATTTGAAGGTCTTTTTGTAATTAGACATTAGTTTAGGGGATTTTTGGTAATTACACAAATCAAGATTTATTGACTACGGGGAGTGCCTGCACCTTTCCACACCATAGTGAAACTTAATAATCCGCTGACGGCAGCCAAATCTCCCCAACGGCTCCACCAAGCCGAATCCACAAGCCGCGCCGCCACTTACTCCACTACCACATCCAAAAATTACCGGCATAGCCGGTGACCAAAGAAATTTGCATTTGGTCTGAATTTGGGGTTCATTTCATTTAGTGACAAAAAAACCCAAACCCAACCCAAAAATGTAAAAAACAATCGTACCTTAACCACAGTCAGATTCTAACCAGATTTAAGTCCCAATTTGGTTTTATTTAAAGACAAATGAAAACAGAGCAAAGGCCAAACTCAAAAGTAACTCTTCTCAGTTCTCCCCATCACTCACCCCACCACCTGTTTGATAAAATGCCTCAAAGAGACAGGTTCTTGAATTTGTTCATCATGTCAAAACAAAGATTGTGATAAAAGAAAAAGGTTGCAGCTTTTTTCTTTTTTTTCTTTTAATTACCTGAAATTTATAAAGTGTTATTTATTGGGTTTTGGGTGTTCTTGATTTTTCGATTTTTTGATGGGTGCAGAAGTAAAGGAACTGATAAAAAATGAAGTGAAAAAAGGCTGCACAATCATAGTTTCAATTTCATATATTACTGTGCCCTCTTGGGATTTGTTTGTTGTCATGGGAAGAAGGAAAAAAATCTGTTCTTGAACTTCAACATAACTCTCTCTCTCTTCTTTCTCTCTCTTGTTTCTTTCTCTAAGAAAGAAAAAAAAACTGTGGTTGCAAGTTTCAAGAGATCTGATATACTAAACCAGAAGAATTCAAGAATGAAGATGTCCATTTGTCCCAACTCTACAGGTGTGTTTAATTTTGATTTAAAATTAATATTTTTATTTTCAAGACTTCTCTTTTAATTTTAATTTTGTTATACTAGCCATTTTTTTTTTCCAAATTTAATTGTAGTATTAATTTTAAGTTGATGTAGAAGAAAATAATCCCATGTACACGAGGGATTTTCAGACGATGTTGGATGAGGAAGGTTGCGTAGAGGAATATTCCGGCCATGTTTCCGACAAGAAAAGGAGGCTGAGCCTCCATCAAGTGAAGGCTTTGGAGAAGAATTTCGAGGTTGAAAATAAGCTCGAGCCGGAGAGAAAAGTGAAGCTCGCCGGAGAACTGGGGTTGCAGCCTAGGCAGGTGGCGGTTTGGTTCCAGAACCGCCGCGCGCGGTGGAAGACGAAGCAGCTGGAGAGAGATTACGGCCTTCTTAAGGCGGATAGAGATGCACTTAAGCACAAGTATGAAAAACTCCGGCAGGATAATGAATCTTTGATGAATGAGGTAATCTTTAATTATGCAGTTAAATCTCTTTAAATTAATACAGTTGAGACTAATAAAATTTTATTGATTTAGTGAAATATCAACACGTTTTTACCGAGTTGGGACCGGAAGAAAGAATTATTTAAGCGAGACTATTAATTTATCGAGGTTCTACTGTATAAAGTTCTATTAAGATCTAAATTAGCAATTTTGGAATAAAAAAAAAAAAAAGAAAAATCATTTTTTTTGTCGGAAGTGAAAAACTAAGTCGAATTGTATTCAATAAAAGAATCGGAAATATCTGAAATCGGAATTTTGGAAATTGGAATGGAAAAACTTGTACTAAAATCGAATGTTCGGATCGTATTTGGCGCTTTCGGAAAAAAAAAATCAATTCTTTTTTAGAGTGAAAAACTAAATCCAATTTTATTCAATCAAAGAATCGGAAATATCTGAAATCAGAATTTTGGAAATTGGAATTGAAAAACTTGTACTAAAATCGGAAATGTTCGGATCGTATTTGGCGGAATTGGAAATTTCCAATTTTGTTTTGGTCACCTATAACGCAAAATACATAATAATTTATATTATTAATTTGTTAGTGTAAGTTTCCCGAAAAGGCAAAGTAACCGGAATTTTTGGAAAATATTTTCTGCAATCTAATGTGTATTCCAATTCGGTTCCCGAAAAAAAAAATCGGAAACCCTAACTTAATAGGGCAATTTTGATTTTGTTTTTTTTAGATTAAGGAGCTGAAAATGAAGCTCAATGAAGACGGCAAACCCGACACCAAAGTTTCGGTAAAAGACGAGAATTTGGTGGTGTCCGAAACCGAAGAAAAAAGCAAACTCGAAACCGAATATGACTCAGAAGCCGCCATGGAAGTCAATTTCGAAAGCTTCAACGGCGACGAGAACGAAGAAATCGGGTGTGCCTCGTTTTTCTGCGATTTAAAAGACGGATCATCCGATAGTGATTCGAGTGCGATACTGAACGATTACAACAGTCCACGTCATCAGTTCTTGGATATTCACAGTGGCGGTTCATCGTCTTCAATGAATACGATGAGTTTCCAGTTTTCCGACAGTGGCAATAAGGAAATTAGTGCGAGTATTCTTGGAGATGGGCAGAAGATGTGCCAGCTGGCACAGATGCAGTTTGTGAAGATCGAGGAGCATGACTTTTTCGGGGACGAAGAATCCGATAACTGCAGTAATCTGTTTTGTGATGATCAAGCTCCGACCCTCCATTGGTACTCTTCTCATGACTGGAATTGATCGATTTCTTGCCCGAAACAACTACGTCATAAATAAGGATACCACTTTTTAAATTAAAAAAAAAAAGGAATTCCGAATTTTGTATAGTGAAAATGATGGGAATCAAGATTTCATGCAAAAAAAAAAAAAGAAAAAAAGTTTATTTTCGAGTTTTTTTGCATTCGAACACGCACCTGTCTGTGTAGTCTAATTTTCAGGAAAAAAACCCGGACAAAATGGACTTCACCCCTTACAAATTTTCTAAATTTGCACTTTTGCCCCTAAAATACTAAAAAGAGATAACTCGCCTTTAAAATATATAAAGTTAAATCTCTATAAATTGATAAAGTCGGACTAGCAAAATTCTGTTAATATTAAATTATTGAACTAACAATTTAGTACATTTTGTTATGGAATTGGGACCGAAATAAATTATTATTTAAATGGGTTATTAATTTATCGAGTATTAGTTTATCGAGGTTCTACAGTATTTCAGTTACACTTTGGCCTAAAACCAATTTTTTTTAATGGGTGATGTGCAACAAAATAATATTTTAAAGGGGTAATGTGCATAAAAAATAACATTTTAGAGGGGGTGTGCAACAAAAATAATACTTTTAAGAGAACAAATGCGAGAAGAACATTCAATTCCACCGAGTAATCTATCGAAATTTGGCTAACGGGGCAACGTGCAAAGACCATATAGGGGAACGGACACTCACTTTTCGAAATTCAAGTGGGGAAATTGCATTATTTTGAAATTTATAGGGGGTGAAGTGCAATTTACCAAAAAAAAACTCCTAGTGTTTTTCTCGTGCGGCTATCTCTTCAAATTTTAGCATAAAATAACATAATTTCCCTTCCTCCGAGACCTCCCACAAAAGGTTCATGTGTTGAACGAGTAGGTCTCGAATCCAAAATTCAATGGTTGCCTGAAAAGTCACTAATTTTCAACCTTTTTTCGACCTTTTTTCGACCATTATCCTTCCATGTTTCAAGCATATTGTTACCATCCAAGATATTTTACCCGCAAATCCACAAATTATACTTCTTCTACTTTGTCAATATTACATTAAATAGATCAAATTTATGGACACATTAGTAGCATAAAGTCGATGCTACACCCAGTGAAATACGCTGGGTGATCTTGAATCTTTGATCTATACATAACAATATAAACATATATATGCGTGTTTAGTTAGTGAATAATTATTTATATAGATCTACGGTTCAATTTTACCCGATGTGTTACGTAGCATCACATAGACTGATTAATTATGTGTCTAAATCAACTTTTGGCAAGTTAATGGCCACTCCCATTTTCGAAAGGACAGCTGTGGTTCCTTTTTTGTGGTTAAAGGTGCAACCTTTTTTAGGTGGTGTTTGTAACATATTGTGGAAGTAAGATTATTAGTTTTCTTTTTTAGATTATTATGTGTTCTTTAGTAACTATAGAAGTATGTTTACCTTTTGTTTCTCTTAAAATATGATAATTTTAGGCTATAAATACCAAAGTGTATATATATATATATATATATATATATATATATATATATATATATATATATATATATATATTGTGTGTATTGAAAGTTGCATTAAACATTTTTGTCATTTGATATATTAATCGAGTCAAGCTGAAAAAATTAAACGTCGTTTCAATTTTATTAATATCGTTTTAACTTTGAATGTGATTTTGATCATTTTCTAATCTAATTATGGTAAAATTTAAAACGTGGAAATTATAGTCTATTGGTCGGTTAAATTTCTAATGCAAATTGTTTTGATCATTTTCTAATCTAATTATGGTAAAATTCAAAACGTGGAAATTATAGTCCATTGGTCGGTTAAATTTCTAATGCAAATTGAATCAGTTGGATTGGATGTAAGATTACAAAGTTATGCATGGATGAGTTGCATTTTGAATTTTAGATAACTTATAAAAACATTAAAGTTGTGGACAATGTTGATTGATTCATGCATATATTTCAACAAATTCCGTTTTTTTTTATTTTACCAAATTCAAAGTCGAAAATGGTGAAAACCAAGTTTGAAATCGAAGCAGTATTTCTGAAACTGAAACTGACATATATCAAATCCCAAATAGCAAGCATGAAAGCAAGATATAACACAAACAACATTGGGTAGCACAAAAAGAGTATATAAAATTAAAATATGCTTCAAGTGCCCCACAAGGGTTTTTGCATTTTTAACTAATATATCATTTTCCTTAATTAATTAAATTTAAATAAAAGAAAATGATAACTTTATCAACTTTATTTATTCATTGAGCCATTCAATTGTTTTATTTCTAATAATTACAATAAACTTTAGTGTTTTAACTTTTAATTGATAGTTCGAGGCAGCTTTCAAATAAGGTGGCATGCTCCACTTTGTTCACTCATAGTATTTACTTAGGCCAATAGGCATCATGAAACTTGCTTCTCTCTTTTTCTATTTTTGTCCTTTTTCATTTTGTTGATTTGTACTCTAAATCTTGGAACATGCAAAAAATAATATTTTTCTTTGTGTAGTGATATATCAAAAAAAAAAAAAAAAAAAAAAAAAATTAATAATAATAAAATATAGGTTAATCTAAATTATTTCGTGTCTTAAAAAAATAAATTTTATTTTTGAAGATATATAATTTTACGTTTAAAAGACTGGGTGTATATATATATATATATATATTCTTAAAGATAAATCGACATAATTGGTTTAGCCTTAATCGTCTCGTACGGGTGTTTATTGAATGTTGCATTCGCCTAATTTTTCTTACTTTTTATGTAAAATGTAAATATTCAGATACTTCGTTAATAACTCTACTTCTTTAATGCACGGTGCATATACTTCGTGAGATGCATGGTATATATACATAAGTAGATTCATACTACAAATTATATATAAACATTAATATAACCTTGATTTTATCTCTTAAGCTTATATTATCCATTCTTAATTAAGTACAATAGAATCTCGATATATTAATATTCAATAAATTAATAACATTGTTTAAATAATACTTTTTCTGATTCCGACTCGATGAAAATGTATTAATTAGTTTGATAATTTAATATTTTTATAAATTAATAAAATTTATTAATTATAAATGTATTAATTTATAAATATATTAATTTATAAATGTTTAACTGTATTATTTTTGTTTTTATTTCAAACAAATTAAATAATGTGTTAGGTAAGGCATGGAGAATTGTACTCACATGTTCTTGCAAAATTACAATACTTGTACGTTATGTACTACATTTGACAATTTAATATTATTTCTTTTCACTTGCGAATGAGATATTTCGCATATTTAAAACATAGTGTGTGGCACACTTTATTCTTCAAATTTAAGTAGATAACTGGGAGGTGTTTGCAGAAGCATCTACGAAAAATAGAAGATAATTTTTGTATTAAAAACATATTTAAAAGCTTATAAGCTTTTCTATAGATTTTGGTAAAAAAATTATTAGATCTTAAAATTCGAAAATAAGTCATTGTAGAGAAAATAAGTTTTTTTTTTTTTTTTTTATTTATTTATTTACATCTACTCCAACTTATCATTTAAGATCTTATGATGAGTAAAAATATCTAATAAGTGCATCATCGAAACATTTTAAAAAGTAATTGTAAACATAAGATATAGCAGCTTACCATACGTAAGTGCTTATCAGTTGTTTAAAATACGTTTAGTCAAACGAACTCTTAAAACAACTTGTTTTCCGACAAGTAAGATAAAAGTTTAATTACTACACTCAACAAGTGATTACGAGCAAAAGCAAAATCATTTTTTGTTTCTTTTTAAAAACTTTTTCAAGCACCACACATAATTATTAATTAACAAATAATTGGTAGATGTAGTGTAGCCATTTTAGTGGAAGATTTCTTAAAGTGGCAAAATCGAGGATTTGATTATTGGATGTTAATGTGTTACCATCCAAAGATATGGTCTAATAAATAGATTATCATAGATGTGTTAAATAAAGCTTTACATAAACCGAAAAATAACACATTAATTTATCTAGATATAATGGATTTTAAGAAAGTTCAAATTAGGGGGAAATGGTTATGAAATTTTCGAATTTCGCCAAACCCCTATAAAAATATGTCCGAATTTGGAATTGTTTCCTTCATTCCAATTTCCGAAACTCCGATATCTTAAATTTCGATATCATATTTTCCGAATTCTTTTGGAACGAAAATTGGAATTGTATATAAAATCACCGAAAATTCATTTTTCCAATCTGATTTTAGTTTCAAAGATTTCGATTGTTCTTCAAAATATATAATATAGATTAATACATATTTTGTAATTTCATAATATAATTTATGATGTATTTCATACTAATATCCGCAAAACCAAGTGAATTGGATCCGTAAAAAAAAATTAGTTGGTATTAGAAACTCTTGGTTGCATTTTTTTTTTTATCACAAACTCCCTAATGCATTTTGTTGTTCCCTCAAATTGTTTATGTTCTTGATATAATCTTTTGAATTTTCTTTGCATTTTGCTAGAAAACTCAGAAACAATAGAAAATAAATTCTGCAATTTCCTATTATATCCGGATTAGGAACAAAAGATTACAATCATCGTTATTTCTAAAATTTTCGAAATTCCATCAAATCCAAAGCATTCTGATTTCGCTCTGGATTATTGAATTCGGGTTTCATCGGAACACCCATCTTATGATTATGCCAAAATATTGATTTTTTCCCGGAAAAACTCATGTACCCCTTTCGACTGATTTCCGCTCCTTGTTAAAATTATTGTGGACTAAGTCCAAGATTTCAAACAATGTATAATACATTTAGGGGTTTTTGTGCATACGTCATAACCAACCATCTTCATTATTCTAGGTTTAGGGGTTATATCTCTTTCACTAATAAGTTCATTCATTTAATATTTATTATAAATAAAGGAAAAACTCATGTATATGACAAAATTACCCCCAACCCTTTACACCAAATTCTTAATTGTAACCTAAATTTAATCAATTTTGACCACAAAAATCCAATTGAACTTTTTTTTTTTACTTTTCTTTTTCAAAAACCTTTTTTTTTCAAAAAAAAAAATTTTTTGCCACCAATTTCCAACGCTGACTTTACGATTTTTTTTTTCTGGTCCGTTTTTTCCGCCGCCGGATACCGGCGTTGACTTTTTTTTTTAA